CAAGATCCAATCACTTGAAATCGCCAGCTATCTGCAGATGTAGTAAGAATGGAGAAATAAGCCTGATTTGCTGCTTTTAGGTAAACCTTGATAAAAGTTCTTACCTGGACATGGTTGAATTTACTGTTTGTATTCTGAAAACCACATGGTGTGGGACAAAGTCCATATATGTGATCATGTCCAAGCCCATTGTCACTCATTTCAAGCTGTAATTAAAACCTCAGTTGGGCTGCATGGCAGAGTTTCAGAGACAATTCTAAATTCCTTTCGAGTCCATCAGTCAGCTGTGAACTGATTCAATATCCCCCTCCTCCCTATAGATGGGTGACATGGCACTCCCAAGGCTAAGAGGGAGTGATGTGTCTGACAAAGAACTAATGTCACATCACCCAACACCAAATTATGTTTCTATTGCCCAAGGCAAAAATCAGGTCTAATGCTCTCTCTCTTGTGAGTAGGATATTCAATAATCTGGGTCAGGTTGCCATGGTGGCTGTAACCTCCAAGCCATCTCTGATTCTATGGCCAGAGAAAGCATGTTGAGTTCTGTTAGAAAAAATAGTTTGGGAAATTCCATGATCTGGGTTACAGATCAACTGGTACAAGGGAAACTATTATGTTTTATTTTATTTTATTTTTTATTTTATTAAATTTCTATACCGCCCTTGTCCTGAAGGACTCAGGGCGGTGAACAGCCACGAGATAAAACACATAAATACAAAAAATTTAAAATGAATTAAAAACGAATTAAATAATTTGGCTGAATTTAAAATACTCCATAATTTAAAACAAATTAAAATTTACATTTAAAAAATTTACATTTAAAAAGGGGAGAAGATTTAGGCCAGGCCAGCTTGATGGAATAGGAAAGTCTTAAGTGCGCGACGGAAGGTACGCAGATCCGGGATCCTCCGTATCTCCGGGGGGAGCTCGTTCCAGATCGTAGGTGCCCCCACAGAGAAGGCTCTCCCCCTAGGGGCCGCCAGTCGACATTGTTTGGCCGACGGCATCCGGAGGAGCCCCTCTCTATGGGAGTGTACTGGCCGGTGGGAGGCTATTGGTGGTAGGAGGCGGTCCCATAGATAACCAGATCCTAAGCCATGGAGCGCTTTAAAGGTGATAACCAGAATGTTGCATGGAGGCTAGTACAATGTTTGCAATCCCAACTGATTTCTTTGGTTGAATTTCACAAACAGGGATTCACACTGGTTATGGCTGATGCAGTTCCCCTGAAACCTACCACAGATACTAAAATGACAACAGTCACACACACACCCTCAGTTAGGACTGTAGTTAATGTCACACTTTAAACTCGGGAAAGGCACATTTTTGAGAGGAAAAACCCAACGTGACCCCCTGTCCCAGCCAGGTTTTAGTAATGCATGTCATCCATAATTGGTCGTAAGGTATTATACCCATAATACCCATAAGGTATTATTACAAGCTAATCTTGTATTATGTAGCAGATGGAAAACAAGGTTTGAGAGACTGAGCCTTCAGTTTCAACAGAGGAACATGATATCAGTACCAAGCGGTGAAGCCATCTTCTGAGAAAAGCCTATCACCTACCATACTTTCCCAAGGTCAATAGCAATAGCAATAGCACTTAGACTTATATACTGCTTCACAATGCTTTGCGGCCCTCTCTGAGCAGTTTAGAGAGTCAGCATATTGCCCCTAACAATCTGGGTCCTCATTTTACCAACCTTGGAAGGATGGAAGGCTGAGTCAACCTTGAGCCTGGTAAGATTTGATCTGCCAAACTGCTGGCAGCCAGAGATCAGCAGAAGTGCCTGCAGTACTGCACTCTAACCACTGCGCCACCCCGACTCCCTCAGTAGGGAGAACAGTGATGAGTAGAAAGAAATATAAGTGCTAAAACACTGCTAACAATTTCTATAAGGAGCTGCATTGTATACTTCTTGTACTTGGAAAACAGAGGAGACTGCACTGGAACATGGAGTGGTTGGAAGCTGTCTGTAGTGTTGACATGCCACAAAAGCACGCACATGCAATCCAGGGGGGGGGATTCCAATTCCCGTTGCTATCGGATCGCTCGTGAGTGCACATTCGCACAGGGCGCTTCTGCACATGCACAGAAGTGTCAGGGAGGAGGGAGGAGCCTCCCGCCACTGGTTCACCCGATCCCAATGCGAACCGGTAGCAACCCATCACTGATACAACCCAAGAGTACCAGCTACTCCTGGCCTTACAGAGCATAGAAATGATTGGTTGGTTTCTGATAGTAACAGAATGATGAGCATTTCCATAGTAAGACCATTGTGATTCATTCTGAAAAGAATCATTAGGGCAGGGGTGTAAAACCTGCGTCGTCACATGACGTATTGGGATTTCCCCCCCTTTGCTAAACTGGGTGTGGGAGTGGCCAGAATGTGACACATCCAGCCTATGGGCCACAAGTTTGACAGACCTGCATTAGGGCATTTGAGAATCCAAACAAAGAAAGCTGGAATCCATTGTTTAAATACAAGCAATTAGGCAAACCAGAGAATAGTTATATGGTGAATATTTGTGTACCTAGTTACCATAAAAAAAAGGGAAAATGTACACAAAATAATCAAAGTTACCAGGCAATTGTTAAGGAACTATATTTTAAACACATGGCAAATAAAATGTTCCAAAGCTTTAAAAAAAAATCTGGCACAAATAACTGAAATACCAGGTTATAACCATTCTAAATTTCAGAGTTGGAAGGATTTTGGGAATTCTATTTTATACAAGAGACCATAGAATCCTTGCTTGCTGGGAAACATGAACATCCTTTCTATTTTCATGCCTTTTGTGAATGTGATGACATTTGTGTCCAGTGTAATGGTAATGCAGCAGCAGCATTTATAAAAATTCAATATAGGAAACTTTTGGACAAAATTTCAGTTTATCTTGCCTAGTATGTATTTGGAAGCATGTTGAAGCTGGTTTATAATCTGACAAAACCTGATTTAATTCTGGCCTCCTGACATGTTTGTGGATATAGTCTAGAAATGTGGGTTCTCTCCCCCCCCTTTATCTTCTCTTAAGAAGCCAATGCCAATGAAACCAATGATTTTTGATTGTAAACCATATACTTGCAAAATATAAGACATTCAGATTTAATGTACCTTACTTTGGGCTTGGTTATCTTGCAATTATCTTGCTATTCTGGTTGACAGAGCCTAACCCTTCTTAAGAGAGAGCTTCAATGCAAACCCTTTAGTGCTTGGCCTTGATCATCAGCTAATTCACCCACTGCCAGATTTTCTTGAAAAAGTGATTAATCATACAGCCTTATTTTTCAAGAACTATAATTATAAAACTCTCAGGACAGGCTTCCCAGATCTAATATTTTAATTAATTAGAAAGAGTGACACTGTTATACCTTTGACAGGGTTAACTTTTTGAAGATGTTATGACTAGCTTTTTTTTTTCCTTGCCCACCATAAAATTTACATTGCAAACTAAAACATTAAAATGTAGTGCATTTCTTTACTTGCTTGGATCTACTAATGATAGTTGTTCTGTTATTACAGGTAGTCCCCAACTTACAACCACGATTGAGCCCAAAATTTCTGTTGCTAAGTGAGACATTTGTTAAGTGAATTTTGCCTCATTTTATGACCTTTCTTTCCCAGTGAAGTGAATCACTGCAGTTGTTAAGATAGCAACATGATTAAGTGAATCTGGCTTTGCTTGTCAGAAGGTTGCAAAAAGTGATCACATGACCCGACACTGCAACTGTCATAAATATGAGTCAGTTGCCAAGCATCTGAATTTTGATCATGGTGATGCTGCAATGGTTATAAGTGTGAAAAACGGTCATAAGTCATTTTTTTCCAGTGCTTTGTAACTTCAAATGATCATTAAATGAACTGTTGTAAGTTGAGGGCTACCTGTTCCTTTGTGCCATTAATTACTAATATGGGAAAGTCCATAGTGGCAGAAATAAATTACTTTTGAAACTTGGAAAAAAGTGAAAAAAAGTTGGCTGCTTTCACAAGCATAGTAAGTCATTATTAGTTAATATTCATATTATTATTATTATTATTTTGCTTTAATTTATATGCTGCCCTTCTCCGGAGACTCAGGGCGGCTTACAATGCATTAAGCAATAGCCTTCATACTTTTGTATATTTATACAAAGTCAGCTTATTGCCCCCACAGTCTGGGTCCTCATTTCACCTACCTTTGAAAGGATGGAAGGCTGAGTCAACCTTGAGCCTGGTGAGATTTGAACTTGCAGTAATTGCAAGCAGCAGTTGCTAATAACAGTGCTTTAGTCCACTGTACTACAGGCTCTATTAAGTTTAATATGATGTTGCAGGCTAGGTTTACTCAACATGTTCAGTCATCAACCAGGTTTACAGGCTGCAGTAACCAGGTTTACAGAACAGGCTATGCCAAAACCAAAATAAGAGCCTTGATAGTACAGTGGTTTAGTGCACCCTGTCATTAACACAGCTGCCTGCAATTTCTGCTGGTTCGAATCTCTCCAAGGCTCAAGGTTGACTCAGCCTTCCATCCTTTCTAAGGTAGGTGAAATGAGGACCCAGTTTGTGGAGGCAATAAGCTGACTTTGTATAAAATATACAAAAGAATGAAGGCTATTGCTTAACGCATTGTAAGCCGCCCTGAGTCTCCGGAGAAGGGCGGCATATAAATCAAATTAAAAAAAAAATGCATTATAATTCAGTACAGTGTGTTACTCTATAATTGTTGCACATTGTCTGCTGTTTCTTGTGCCTGGTCTAGCTGTAGAAAATAAAAATGTAGAATCATTTTATAAGTTCATTTAAAGCTTAAATGTATGAGTGTTAATAGATGTGAAAGTATTGCAAAAATAATTTATATTAAAAATACATACAATAGTGGTAAAACCTGTGACTCAATATGGGTCAGCTTAGCCTAATATCCAGCTGCTAATTATTGAATAGGTAATTTCAAGGGTTCAACTGTTCCTTTTTTGAAAAAAGAAGAATGACATTGCTTCAGACATTCAGAGCATATTTGGATAAAGCATTGTCTCCTTTAATTTCCAATGCACTAATGTTTCTATTCATATACACAGGGATGTACATGCTATTGCATTGTATTTCATTCTGAAATGACAAAAATTTGTCTTAGCATAGTATAGCAGTTTGAAAAAATATAATGATCTTAAGGATTTATATACGAAAAAGTTGGTAGATGAGCAAATCACAATACGTATCTTTAATAGCACAGTATAATCATATAGCAAATAAAACATATTTTTATAATGTTAATCACTTGCAATAATCATGCTCTAGTAAAATAGATTCTCTTATTTCATAGAGTACACAAATTATTTACCAGTTTTTCCTAAATAGAGCTATCAACCAAAATATTTATTTCAAACTTGATGTGTGCCTGTGTTAAACACTCAAGATTTGGCAGTGTTACTCCAATCCTAAGGCTATTCAAAATGCAAGAATTTCTTTCCAAAGATTTTCCATAAAATTCTCCTCAAAATTAAATGTAATCGTCTACAAGAAATCAAATTAGACTGAAGACGATTCTAACATAAATAGTATTTACATTGTGAGGAGAAAATACATAACTTTAAAAAAACCCTATTGGTTCAACTGTAATTCATTGCTTTTCCTTTCATTGTTGAGAGCAGTTGTGGATTCAGAATATGTTCATCTGCTTAGTCAAGACAGTCACCTCCAAATAAATCTTATCCTACCCATTCTAGTTATTTAGAATCTTAATGTTTTATTTTTTACTAAAGTTGCAATGCAAAACTGACACCCATGTACCTCCCCCCCCACTGGACCCTCTTCCTACCCATTTTTGGAATATGGCTCAACATAACAAATAAAAGCTGACGCAAGTTGCTTATCCCTAAAGTAGGAACTCTAAACATTATTTTAAAAAACACTCACACACATATTAAATCATTGCAGTTAATGTTCCAAAACCACAGCATTAATCATGCTCATGGTGTAAAGTTACTGGAGCCTATGATTTCTTTTCTTTTTTATTATTTAAAATGAGACCACCAGTGAAAATTTTGAAAATGAAAATCAAATATATAAGAAGCTTAACTTTTTATATAGCAGCTTATTCTATAAGAAATTTAACTATGCCAGCTTCAGAACTGGCATTATTCCTGACCCATGTTTTAGGCACCATACTGGAAGAAGGTGACATGGTTTTTGACTCTTGTATGTACATGGTCTGCACTGTTGATGCAGTGACTATGGTTTCCTAGTGCAACACTGGCAAAGAGCTGTTAAGAATTAAGGGAGAAGTGAGGTGCTCTAACCACACTCCAGAGAATATGTCTTGAGTAAATAATGGAAATACACTAACAGATGACTACTGATATTTAAAGGGATATAACTACCAATTGTTAGAGGGAATTTCTAAATTATGTTGTTTTAGGCAGTAATTATTATTGACTCAAAAAAACAGAATATATTTAGTCTAATTAAGTATTTTTGCACAAAAGATTTTGATAAAATTGAAATTGTTCCTCGAAATGATTATTTTAAACAGCTCTGTATTATATATAATATTTCCAGATTACTATTTCAAACATTGTATAAATACCAATCAAGACATTGTTTTGTGTCCACTTGAAGTATATTTAAACTGATGACATTTGTATCGTAATCCTATGTAAAAATTTGCATAAAATTGCTCATTGTTTAAGATTTATATAGTGCAATCCTAATAAAGTTCCTTATATGCTTCATGAGTATATTAATTAATCATCAAAATAAAGTGATGAACCAGTTTTACAATCTGAGTATAATCTAAAACTCAGCCAGAGGATCTGTTAAACTAGCCTGAGTTTTTATGTGTAAACTTAATTTTAAACAAAGTGTATTTTGTGTTCAAAGGAATGGCTTCATATTTGTGTTTATGCTGTGCAGTTCTGTCACCACCACTTGAGAGAATGGCATTTTCTACAGGATTAAATAAAAGCATAAATTACAAATGTGATTGGGGCCAAGAACACAATTAAGATTTTCACTGTATGAAAACAAGACAAAGCAAATTGTGATTAGTTTAATGGAAATGGGTAGGATTTTGTGATGTTGGATTGTATGCTGGCTTTACAAGTTAATAAGACCTGGACTCTAAAAATGAATAATATGGGCTATAAAATGAACCCGTCTGTTTCAGATCCACAGACCATATAATCCCACATGCATTTTAATAGTAGCCAGATAGCTGCCTTTTGTGAGCAAAGACAACCTTATCCTGGTCTCCTTCTCAACCCAAAGAACTGATACACTGTGGTCTGCTGCCTTGAATACTAAAGTTCTAATGAGGTAGTATGGTCACTATTAGTTACATATCTATTCCTGTGAATTGGTTAATCTCCTTTACAAGGATTCTAAATCATGAGCATGTTTTCAGTAATGTACAATGATTTGCAAGAAAAATGTAAATGTAAATGCAGAATATTTTAAAAAAAGCTTTTCTAGTTGCCCCTTTCCCTAAAGGATCACTTTCTCTGTGGACATGGTAATCTCAGCATGCAAATCAAGGAGTACTATATACTATTTTAATGCAAGCCAGACAATGTGTCACAGGTACAACATGTATCATGTTTCTTATTTGGCACAAGGGAATTTTGGGGGGATTTAGAACACTAAGTGGAATTGATACCATATGTTAACAACAGAAGCAACATATTAATAAAATATTAATTCCAAAGGAGGGGAAATGACTTGTGAACTGGTAATAACTTCAACAATTAAACACAAACAATTCTAGACACAAAGCTGCTCTGCTTTAAATGAAATACACGTTAACCTTTAAATAATGACTATTATAATCTGTGGATAATAATAGCTTTTGTAAGCAAAAGCACTACACTAAATTTTTCAGTATTGCTATTTTTGTAAATAATTTCATAAAATGTAAGTAGCAAAGTGCACAATTTATAATTGGAACTGATGCAATGAACTAGTACCAATTCTACTGGGCTGACTTAACTAATCAACATGAATGTCTAGTAGTTTCCTAGCACATAGTTGTGAATAAATAACTTCATAGTATGGGATAATATGCCATCCATTAAAGAACTAGAATTATACACTGGGTGCACAATTATTAGGCAAGTAAGTATTTTGACCATATCATCATTTTCATGCATATTTTCCACCTCCAAGCTGTAGAAACTTGAATGCGTAGTGGATATAAGCATATCAGGTGATGTGTATTTGTGTAATAAGGGAGGGTGTGGCCTAAGGAGATCAACACCCTATATCAATGTACATAATTATTAGGCAGCTTCTTTTCCTCAGGCAAAATGGGCCAAAAAAAGAGATTTAATTGATTCTGAAAAGTCAAAAATTGTAAAATGTCTTTCAGAGGGATGCAGCACTCTTGAAATTGCTAAGATATTGGGGTGTGATCACAGAACCATCAAACATTGTGTTGCAAATAGCCAATAGGGTTGCAAGAAACATGTTAAGAAGACACACACATTAACTGCCAAAGATTTGAGAAGAATAAAATGTGAAGCTACCAGGAACCCATTATCCTCCACTGCTGTCATATTCCAGAAGTGCAACCTACCTGGAGTGGCCAGAAGTGCAAGGTGTTCCGTGCTCAGAGACATGGCCAAGTTAATGAAGGCTGAAACCCAACCACCACTTAAACGGCAAGACTGGGCCAAGAAATATTTGAAGACAGATTTTTCAAAGGTTTTATGGACTGATGAGATGAGAGTGACTCTTGACAGACAAGATGGATAGGCCAGTGGCTGGATCAGTAACACAGAACTCCACTTTGACTCAGACGCCAGCAAGGGGGAGTTAGGGTACTGGTATGGGCTGGTATTATTAAAGATGAGGTAGTTGGATCTTTTCAAGTTGAAGATGGACTCAAAATCAAGTTCCTACTGTCAGTTTTTAGAAGACACTTTCTTTAAGCAGTGGTATAGGAAAAAGTCTGCATCTTTCAAGAAGACCATGATTTTTATGCAGGACAATGCTCCATCTCATGCATCGAAGTACACTGCGTGGCTAGCCAGTAAAGTCCTTAAAGATAAAGAATAATGACATGGCCTCCTTCCTCACCTGACCTAAACCCTATTGAGAACCTGTGGGCCCTTCTTAAATGGGAGATTTACGGTGAAGGAAAACAGTACACCTCTCTGAACAGTGTCTGAGAGGCTGTGGTTGCTGCTGCACAAAAAGTTGATTGACAACAGATCCAGAAACTGACAGACTCCATGAAGGGAAGGCTTATGACTGTTATTGAAAAGAAAAGTGGCTATATTGGTCACTGATTTTTTTTTTTGAAATGTCAGAAATATTTATTTGTACATTTTGAGTTGTTTGTTTATTATTCTTAACAGATGCAAACAAACAAGTGAAATGGGCAAATTTTCATTTTTCATTTAGTTGCATAATAATTCTGCACACTAATAGTTGCCCAATAATTGTTCACACATAGATATTCTCCCAAGAAAGCCAAAACCTCACTTTTACTTTCTTAAATATTCAGGTTTGAGATTTATTAACATTTTGGATTGATTGAGAGCACTATAGTTGTTCAATAATGAAATAAATCCCCCAAAATACAACTTGCCTAATAATTGTGTACACAGTGTATTAAACTATGGTTGCAGGTTACTGTACATTGCTTCCTTCAAACTGCAGCAGAAATATAAGAACAGTGACAGTATGTCAGCTTCAGTGGTGAAATCCAAATTTTTTTACTACCGGTTCTGTGGGCGTGGTTTGGTGGGCATGGTGTGGCTTGATGGGCATGGTAGGGGAAGGATATTGCAAAATCTCCATTCCCACCCCACTCTGGGGCCAGCCAGAGGTGGTATTTGCTGGTTCTCCAAACTACTCAAAATTTCCGCTATTGGTTCTCCAGAACCTGCTGGATTTCATCCCGGTCAGCTTCCAGAAATAGGCAAGCAATTGATATGCAGTGATAAGTTGTAGAAAGAAGAGTGTGGATATATTTTATCAATACAACAAGATTTGTGCTTCTACCAAAGGTCATTAGTGATCGTAAAACAAGTTAGGGAAACTAGGAAGATATTATACATGATAAATACAATGTCCTATAAATGTTTATAGAAAGCATATGAAAATAATAGTTAAAAGTATGAGACGGTATTAAGCAAAATATAAACTAATTTTTTGGATACACACATACAAAATATAAATGTCCTTCTCCCTGTCCTTTGGAAATAAAGGGTTGGCTAGATTAGTGGGAAAGTAGTCTACGTACTATGGTTGTTATTTGGATGGTGTGCATCTTCTTGCCAACAAGGTAACTGGTACAAGAAATGTAAAGATATCTGGCAACCATTTCTTCCAGATGAAGTTGCCTTATTAGAAAAAAAAAGCCAACATATTATACAAAGTGCCGTGTTTCATAGAACAAACTGTGTGTAAAAATAATGTCATAAGACAGTTACAGGTCGGTGTTGCTCCAATTGAGTTTCCAGTGCAATCCGTTCCTTGTGAACTTCCTAAATAGCACAAATAATATGAAATAATTAGAGAGCAACTTGGTAGAAATATGCATATATAAAAAATAATTTTGTTTTAAAATGCAAACTTATGAACTCTACTTTTGCAGTTTCTGAGTTTCACTATGTGTCCTTTCAATAAACTATAGCAATAACAAAATAAACTGACATTCAAATGTTGGATAGCTTGGTAATGTGAATGCTCCACCATCATTGCCCTGATTTTTTTTTTAGTTTAGTTTATATTGTGATTTCTTAAGAAGTTTCAATACTGTATATTAAGATACAAATATTTTTTTTCCAAAATATTCTTTAAGTTTCTGAAAGCTAAACCATGGACTTTTGATCTATCTAGCACTATTTTGAACTCTACTGTAATACTGATCAGGTGAATGCATTCATTGATAAAGAGTTTTAGGGATCATCATTGAATTAACTCAACTTGGTCAAAAAATATGAAAGAAATGCAGTCAATAACCCATGTCAATCACTTGATAAGAAGTACCACTGGAAAGAATATTAACGTTAATAATGTCACATTTTTTTCCTTAGATATAGGCAGTAAATAAATTATATTTCAGAAAACAGTTGTTTCAATTTTATTTATAATTTAGGAGTTCTTCTGCTGTCTTATTTGTTAGAAATTGATTTATTTGCAGTTAAGAAAAATTCTGATGAGTATCTTATGTACTATAATGTATTCTACTGTATATGTTATATATATTCAAGATATATTAAATATCAAAACCCAAATTATTACTGCAGCAAAGTATCTTTTGCATCAAAAAGATTAATTAACTAAAAAGAAGACATGTTTTATTTTCCATTTCAAATACATTTTGAGTAATGGGATTGTATCTGCAAAAAGGACATTTCCTCATCGCATGACCACAAAGTTTTATTTTTTTAAGTGCTAATATGATTACATATAAACATTTATTCATACAGGGACATGAAGGGAGAGGGTAGCTTCTGTCAGTGTAGGGAATTCACATTTATAACTTTCATAAATATATTTAAATTTATTTAATTCATGGAAGGTTCCTTTTCACTCCAGTTCTCAGCCACCCATTCTTCTATTTCAAGAACATTTATATTTTATACTAATGTTTACATTTTCTTCATGTACAAGGGCAAAAAGAGATGCATGAGCATTCCTTACCTTCAGTTGTTGCTGGAGTTCACTGTTCAACCGAACTAGCACTGCATTAGCTTCTTTGTTTTTACGAATAGCAGTCTGAATAGCTTTCTTCTGTTTTGAAGACTGTCTGCCAGAGATAAAGACAACCCCTATTTTTAATTAGTAGGACAATCTGGATGATAGACAAAGAGGACATGGTGGGTTTAAATTAAAATCAAGGCAAAACATTGGGGTGTGCATCTTTAAAATATGTAATTCCCATAGAAAGTCAATACAATATAAGTAAATTATTGCTATGGTCTCCAACTTGATATCTAATTTCCCTATAGAATTCTCTTCTGTGTTTCCTTCTTTACTACTGATAGCCTTTAGAATCAACTTTATTTATAAGAACAATTTAGGCCCTCAAATATCCCAAACTCTTATTCAGATCTTTCTGAACTGACATAAACAGCCTTATCATAATTTGTATGTTCTGCAACATTCTAACATAAAACATTTTTCCAATTCCAGATGTTAAAAAAGACTATTTCCATAAATATACACTCATCTAGCTTCGGATAAATCCATAAGGAGGGATCGCTAATCCAAAATGGTGATGTATTGAACTAATTGCCCTCTCATTATATGGTCACCTGTTTCATGAGGAAATTACTCTGTGTGGCATACAAGCAACTCATAAAAACAATTTTAAAAAACATTTAGGAAAAACAAATATTATTATTATGAAAAGGCTAAGAGAAAACATCAGATTACAAACAATGGAGCCATTTCATCAGATCTCCATCTCCTTGAGATCCTAAGGCCTATTGATACAACCAGGTTTTAAGGAACTTCTGAAATGTTGAGAGAGATGGGACCAATTTTGCCTAAGGGGGGATGATATGCCACAGGAAAATTATTTGATTTACACCCCAGTTTTATCTTGTATCATTCACGGTATAATGCTGTCACTTTCTATTTTCCCCAACAAGATCCTGTAACAGGAATGGATTAAGAATGAGTCCCAAATCAGAACTTGGCCCCAAGTCACCCAGCAAATTTTCATGCCAAAGGAGGTATAGAACTCATAATTTCCCAGTTTCTAGCCCAGCACTTTAAGAATTACATCAAATTGGGGAGGCTTCCGGTGGCTCTGCGGACTGACGAGGACGGTCTCTATAGACCGCCAGCCACCTGATCTGTTAAAACCGCCCTGACAGCGCTAAACAGCTGTCCGGCGGTTTGAAAAAACTCTCCTTTGGGCAAAGAAGGAGAGGAGAGTCGGAGGGGGTGGGTAGAGCTCCCGTAAGTCACTGGATTAATTCCAGGGACTCAGAGGGTGAGAGCTCCCCAGTTCACCCCTCCCAATGCTCCGGATCGCTGGTGCCTCTGTTTATCAGAGCAAGTCGTCTGCGTCCAATTCTGCCGGCAAACAGTGAGTTTTAATGATTTCTATCAAGGCAGACAGAGCGGAAGCAAGAGTGCAAGCTTTTTAAAAGGAACAGAACTTAACTCCGTGAATACATTGTTGCAAACGGAGCTCTCTTGAGCTGGAGGCTGGAGAGGAAGCCTTTGTTATGGGCGGAAGGGAAAGTGAAACTTAAAGGGAAACTGCTTGTTAAGAGCCCTCTGCCTGAAGAGTAAACTGCTGGGGATTGAGCATAGTTTGAAGAGAGGATTGTTTATTTTGGAAAAACTTTGAAATACATTTTGTAAGCCTGTTTATAAGATTCTGTGGCTGCAAAAGGAAAAAACTTTTTTTTAAAATAAAATGGCTGCTAAACAACTAAAGCCACCAACTTCTAAAGGGGGAGGAGGTTCCCCTGTAGTGACTCAAAAACAACAACTTCCGGCTGATACACAGTCACAAGACCTTAAAGAATTTATAATGGGTGCCCTGAATAACCAGACAGAAATGATGAAAGAATTTTCAGAGGAGTTAAAGAAACTTACAAGTGTGGTGGAGGAAAAACATAATGAAATAAGAGATGACATTGTTTTTGCAGTTTCAGGACTGGCTACTCATATGTTAAAGATTGAGGAGAGAGTACGGGAAATTGATGATGCTAACTTGGAGCTTGCAACTAAAGTAGGAGAGGTTATGATACAAACAGAAAAAATGGATGATGAAATGGTTATGTTACAATACAGATCAATGGAATTTGCCCTGAGGCTGAGAGGTTTGAAAGAAAAGAGTGGTGAAAATTTAAAAGATGTTTGCTCCAATGCTTTAGCAGAGCTGATCTCAGAAAGGCCAGAAGATGTGGCAATTCAAGTGGACAAAATTTACAGGGTCAATTCCTGGCTGGCAAAACAAAAGCAGCTACCAAGAGATGTGGTGATTTATTTCACAACAAGGAGAGTCAGAAATGATATTTTGCAAGCTTCTTACAGAAACAAAATTAAAGTGGAGGGACAAGAGTTGGTGGTCCTGAAAGAGCTTCCTCCTAAAATGTTAAGAGACAGAAAGCAGTTTGGTTTTTTGGTGAATGAACTAAGAAACCAGCAGCTTCAGTACAGATGGGATGTTCCATTTGGGATAATAGTGACATACGCTGGCCAAAGATATCGCTTAAACACAGTTGGAAAGGCAAAAGATTTTTACGCCAATGTTTTAAAGGCTGGAAGGCCACCCTCACCAGGGGGTGCTAGAAAGCAAATGGAAATTACACAACAAGAGAAAGACGGAGGGCAACCACAAACTTATGCTCAAGCATTAGCTGGAGGAGCCAATCTGGAAGAAGATCCACTATTGAGTGGGGGTCCACCACCAACTCTTGAGCCATTAACGATGATACAGCTGCCAAAAGATCAACGATTGACAAGAGCTACTTACAAACAACATCTGGCACAACAGCCTCAAGATTCAACTCAACAAGCCCAAAAAACACAAGCAGTGGGAGGAGCTAGGCCGAAGTCTAAAATGGCGGAGGAGGTTCAGCTGATGCTCTCAAAGCTTGGAACGCCCAGAGATGGCAAATAAATTTCTATCTTGGAATGTTAATGGTTTAAATTCTCCACAAAAAAGAAAGAAAATATTTCATTATTTGAAGCAATTTCAGAACGATGTCATTTGTTTGCAAGAAACGCATATTAAATCCTCAGACCAAAAGTACTTGATAAATTCGAAATTAGGTACACATTTTGTGGCATCAGCACCAGAAAAGAAAAATGGACTAGTTATATACGTTAAAAGAGGCTTAGTGGCCAATTTAATTGAGGCTGACACTCAGGGTAGATATATTGCAATCGAATTAACAACACAGAATGGGAAGCTGCTTGTAATTGGAGTATACGCACCTAATCAACAACAAGATAAATTTTACAAACTTTTACATACCAAAATATTACAATGGGATTATAGATCTTTACTTCTAATGGGTGATTGGAATGGGGTATTAAATACCCAGAAAGATAAAAAAAGTCTTTCCAAGACTTCCATGCGTGCTAAGTTGCCTAAATCTTTTTTTGATATCTTGGAGGATATGGAGCTTAGAGACATTTGGAGAGAAAGAAATGTATTGGAGAGTGATTTTACTTTTTTTTCAGATAGGCATCAATCTTTTTCTAGGATTGATTTTATACTAACTACAAATGATCTTTTTTCTAGGGTGAAGCATACGAAGATATGTCCAAGAACTTTAACTGATCACAGCCCAGTTTGGGTGGAACTAGAGCAGGAAAGAGGGGAAAGGAGGTCTTGGAGGTTAAATGAGAATTTATTTAGATATGAAGATAACTTGTGTGAGCTTAAAAAACAAATGAAAGAATTTTTTATTAACAATATGAATAAAGGAACTTTGATGGAGATGGTATGGGATGCGTGTAAGGCATATATGAGAGGAACATTAATTTTTTTGAATAATAAATATAGATTAAAACAACAAAACAGACGGAAAGAGATAGAGCAGGAGATTAAAAAGAAAGAACAATTGCTTATAATTAATCCGGGAGATAAAAAGGTAAAAGATATGATTAATATTTTAAGAGAGCAATTTAATATGTTAATGGCTGGGCAAGTAGCAACCAGTATACAATATGCCAGACATAATACATTTTGTAATGCTAATAAACCTGGGAGATGGTTGGCTTACACGATGAGGAAAAAACAGAAATCACGTGTTATAGACAAGATAGAATTTAGAGGTAAAGAGATTTATCAACAGAATTTAATAAAAAAGGCTTTTTTGGAGTTCTACACAAAGTTATATGCTAAAGATGCAATTCAAGAGGTTGATATTGATAGATATTTAAAGATGGAGATTCCTGAACTAACGCTGGAACAGAGAGAGAGATTGAATCAGCCAATAACTTCCGAGGAAATTGTTGGGGCAATTAAACAATTAAAAATAGGTAAGGCTCCAGGAACAGATGGATTAACAGCTGTTTATTATAAACATTTACAATCTGAAATGTTAGAACCACTCAAAATTTTATTTAATAAAATACAAGGAGGAGGAGGAGTACCACCTTCTTGGAAAACAGCCTTTGTCTCACTAATTCCAAAGGAGGATCAAAATTCCATTAAACCTGAGAATTTCAGGCCAATTTCACTTCTGAATACTGATTATAAGATTTTTGCTAAAATATTAGCTAATAGATTAATGCCAATTATGCAACAAATAATTCACAATGATCAATCAGGGTTTATAAAAGGGAGACAAATGAGATATAATGTTAGACAAATTGTAAATTTACTGGAATATTTGGAAAAAAATAACCAAGTTCCTGCAGCGTTTATATTTTTGGATGCAGAGAAGGCATTTGATCGTTTGAACTGGCAATTTTTGTTTAAAATAATAGAGAAAATGCACTTTGGGGAATATTTTTCACAATCAATTAGAGCGATATACCAGCAGCAAACCGCACAAATTATAGTTAATGGAGGTTTAACAGAGGCTTTTAAAATTGAGAAAGGAACAAGGCAGGGGTGTCCTCTGTCCCCACTATTATTTATTTTGACTCTGGAGGTACTATTGAATAAGATACGTGATTCAGAAAAGTTGAAGGGTATTGTAATTAGACAACAAGATTATAGATTAAGAGCATTTGCAGATGACTTGGTTATTACTTTATCCCAACCTATAGAGTCAGTTCCATATATATTGGATATAATTGATCAGTACGGGAAAGTATCAGGATTTA